CCTCAGCCCGGCCTGCGCCCTCTTGCAGTCCGGGAGCCCTTGGGGGATGTCCAACTGCTGTGGAGGCAGGAGAAGATACCACCACCGCCGCTGCACTCGCCAGCTGTGAGCCTGGCTCAGGGCTTCTGGCTGAGCTGCACTCCCCCTGCGGGAGCGCACTGACCACCAGGGGCAGCTTCTGCGTTGAGCGTCTGCCCCCTGGTGGTCAGTGCGTGTCATAGCGACCAGTCATTCTGCCATTCGGTCGATTTGAATATTAGCCTTTTATTATATAGGATAGGTAAATGGTGGCTTCGAGACTTTCTAAACAAAAAAAAACCACACACACACCTGGATTTGAGAAGAAACGTTGGGTTTCTCTTCCATTTAATGACTTGTTTTCTGTAGACAAGTCATGAACTTGTTCGAAGTGTCACTTTGTTTTGGGCGCAGCATTCTTGAGAGCTGGCAGCAAAGGATGATTTGCTGGGGCTTCAACCTGATGTGGACATTAGGGCTATTTCAACTGTGACATCGGATGGCTGGTGATACAGTGCCCTGCTGCCCCCTGCTGGAAGTTCTTGGGACAAGCTGTTCAGAGACCTGATTCTGACCCAGTATTGTATGTGATTTCTTTCTTTCTTTCCTTAGGGGATTTGGCCATGTCCCTTCTCCCTCCCCCTCTCCCTCTCCCCAGTTAACATAAATAATGGAGCAGGAGCTGAAGGTGGGCCGGGAAGCTCTCTGAAACCAAGGGCTGTGGAGGCACAGAGGGGCTGAGCCTCCTAATGCAGTGTTATCGCCATGTGTGGCTGCTGGGCTCTGCAAGGAGCACCCGGCAGTCCCGGAAAGTTCTTTCCTGGTGTCTGTCTGGGAAGACGGCTGCACTCCCCCTGCGGGAGCGCACTGACCACCAGGGGCAGCTTCTGCGTTGAGCGTCTGCCCCCTGGTGGTCAGTGCGTGTCATAGCGACCAGTCATTCTGCCATTCGGTCGATTTGAATATTAGCCTTTTATTATATAGGATAGGTAAATGGTGGCTTCGAGACTTTCTAAACAAAAAAAAACCACACACACACCTGGATTTGAGAAGAAACGTTGGGTTTCTCTTCCATTTAATGACTTGTTTTCTGTAGACAAGTCATGAACTTGTTCGAAGTGTCACTTTGTTTTGGGCGCAGCATTCTTGAGAGCTGGCAGCAAAGGATGATTTGCTGGGGCTTCAACCTGATGTGGACATTAGGGCTATTTCAACTGTGACATCGGATGGCTGGTGATACAGTGCCCTGCTGCCCCCTGCTGGAAGTTCTTGGGACAAGCTGTTCAGAGACCTGATTCTGACCCAGTATTGTATGTGATTTCTTTCTTTCTTTCCTTAGGGGATTTGGCCATGTCCCTTCTCCCTCCCCCTCTCCCTCTCCCCAGTTAACATAAATAATGGAGCAGGAGCTGAGGGTGGGCCGGGAAGCTCTTTCAAACCAAGGGCTGTGGAGGCACAGAGGGGCTGAGCCTTCTAATGCAGTGTTTCGCCATGTGTGGCTGCTGGGCTCTGCAAGGAGCACCCGGCAGTCCCGGAAAGTTCTTTCCTGGTGTCTGTCTGGGAAGACGATTGGTGCTTCGGCTGTTTGTTGAAAAGAAGGGGGCGCTATTTACCTCGGTAATCAATCTATGTTGATACACAGATTTCCAAATAGTACTTATTACTTTTATTGATTTTAAACTATTTTTTAATTGCCAAAGTAATACCTGGAAAATAGGTTATGAAGAAAGTAAAAATCTTTTGTAATCATTCCATGTAGAAGTAACTATTCTTGATTATTCTGTGTATGACTTCTCAGTCTTTTTTAGATTTGAACCAAGGTAGGACTATAGTGTCATTCTCATTACAAGGACTGGGGACCCTCAGCTTGGTTGATTAGTACTTAGTCAAACTAAAGTAACAGCCACCTCTTCTGGGAAGGCAAGTTGTATTCTGCTTAATTAGGATCAAAGCTTGAGGTTGGTTATCATGAAACTCTCGGGATGAATTTCAGGTGACAGCAAAGAGATGGGGAGATCAGAGTGGAAGTGTTATGCTCTGTTCCAGTCCTTTTAACCAAATAGCCCTGCCCCCCGTGGGGGGCTTTCAGCTGCGGCTCCTGCTCCTGAGAAAGGGCCACGGGCTCAGCCCAGCAGGGCTCTGTGACTGGCCAAGAGGAGGAAGATGACAGCTGCTTGGATGAACTCGGGAGGAGGTAAGTGTTAGGTCTGACCAGATAATTGCATCGATACCCCCTGCCCTGGGAACTGACCTATAGGCCACTTCACAATGGACATTCCACTTGCTTAGACCACACTCCACTTGCTAAGGCCATTATCTCTCCCCTCTGGAGTTTCCTAGAATTCAGACCTGCACAGAGAATTCTCCCCCCAGAAAAAGCCCGCCTAGAGACCTTTAAAAATCCCTGTCTCCCAGTCTTTGGGGTGGCTGGTGCCATTTTGGGGCTCAGCCCATCTGATATCCAGATGATCTAATAAATTCATAATTCTCTACCCCCTTTGGCCTTGTGCGTTCCTCCTTCCATGACCCTAACATTTGGTGCCAAAACCCGGAAAGGTTCTATGGGGATGAGAACCAATTGCCCCGACTTTGGTCACCCTGAGTTTGCTACTCAGAGAGCAGGAGGCAGCGGCAGCTCGACCTGGGCTTACCTCCGAATCCTACCCGGGTGACATGATTGCCGCCTCAATTAGGCTTCTCTCCCTTAGGGGCCCTCCAGAACCAGCCAAGGAGGACGCCAGATCAGGAATCTCTCCTCCATTGCTGACCCTCCACCCCACACCAGCCAGTCTTCTCTAGGTGAGTGATGTTCCACAATTTCCCTCGTCTTGTGTCTTCTGCCCACTCTCTCTCGCTGACTTCTCAAGTCTCTCGTCTTAAAAGTCCTAGTGCTAGGCCAGAAGACTCTTCAGCTGTTCAGCTTTGGGTCCTTCTGGATTGGGGACGCCCAGCCCAGAGGATCACCTCTCATTTCTTTGGTGATTTGTTTAGCAGCAGGGACGCCTGCCCTAAACAGTCACCTTTGGATTTGTGGTCTGTCACTCACCCTTCCTCTCTCATGGGCTACACTACACTCCCTCTGCACACTCACGGGGGAGATCATGCCCAACCACCTCATTTTATTTTGTAACACTGGCCACAATATAAACTAGTCTCAATGGCCTGGAAACAGCACTTTGAATTTTAACACATTGCACAATTTAGATAATTGTTGTCACTGCAATGGAAAATGGTCAGAGATTCCCTACGTCCAGGCCTTTTTCACCCTTCAGTCCAGTTCTCTCTCTCAGCCCTGCTCTACCCGTCAGATCTTTCTCCTTCACACAAAACATCATACCCCTAACACTTCTGATTCTGAATCTACTTTTGACCCAGCAGACCCCTTACCTCCACCTCCTTACACGCCCCCTCCCTCACCTGCAGTAGATTCCCAAAACCCAGACCCTCCTAACCAGCAACCACCTTCTCCCTGGCCCCTGAGAGCCCAAATCCCAAGAACACAAGCTCCAAAACAGCCTTTTCCCTCCTAACACGTGCTCTCAGGCCACCCAAAGACCACCCTCCTCAACAGCCTCTTCTATTCCCGCGCCCATTCCACCCCTGAGGGAGGTAGCAAGAACTGAGGGCATTGTGGTCAGTTATAACAAATTTAGTGAAATCACTCAAGGCTCTGATGAAAACCCAGCTCTCTTCCTCTCTCGCCTACAGAGGCCTTGCAGAAATTTACCACCTTAGACCCCACACCCCCAGAGGGAACCCTTCTTTGGAACACCCATTTTATATCCCAATCAGCCCAGGACACACACCACACACTTCGAAAAATAGACACAGGTCCGCAAACCCCTCAAAAAGACCTCGTTAACCTGACCTTTAAGGTCTTTAATAATAGAGACAAG